TTTTTACAGGCGCAGCGAAGCTTATTCTTTTCCCGTGATATCATAGTTACGCGCGACGGAACAAAAGATAGAACGGCGGGGCGGGGAGGACGCACACATACGCGCGCGCACACACACACACACACACACGCACGCACCGGTGAAGGTAGGAAAGTGATACGGATATCTCTTCTTTTCCCCGACTCTGTGCGGTGCACCGCGAGGGAGGCGCGCACGTTTCACCTGTGCCGATGCACAGGAAGCCGTAGACACGTCGTCGTCTCAGTCGCGTGTTTACATTGAGTGCGGTACGATGACTGCCGCACTAATGCAGCGGAAAAGAGTAAAGCCATAATTATATGGCTCGTTCGCCGGTTACAATTTCTTCCGCGGCCGCTCCGTAATTAATTCACGATTATTCCTCGTGTTTTTGTCGCCGTTACGTTCCGTGGTGTGTATTTATCGAGAGTAATTGGAGCAGAATCGAAGTTTCGAAGTGTGCTGTCCGGCGTCGTACATATAGCGAGTGATTGATTGTTAATAAATCCGATTAAAAGTCTGACGACTCGCTCGGTCGATGAGACATCGCTGTGTCAAAGAAGACGTCGTTTTCGAATGAATCAGCGAGGCAATTTCGCAGTGTGAGTCTCCGCGTAAAACTGGAGCAATGAACGTTATCGCGGCAGGACGTGAAACCGACATTCTACGATCCCGCGAGGAAAAGTTGCGGTGAATCCCAACAATTTTGCTCTCGCGAGAGCCAGTTGAGCGAAATAAAAGTGATCGCGATAGGCGAAAATTCACGATACTGCAGCAAAATATAAATCTGTGATACACTCTACGATACGATCGAACACGCTGAGTTTGCGTTTTATAAACCTGCCGCATAGATAAACGTTACGGATAAATGTGCGAACTCGCTATTTTGAACACAACAGTGTGAACGAGGCGCGACTGCAACAGTGAAACACGTACAATTAAATTGGGAATTAATTCGGGATACTATCGAACGGAAACCGGATCTTTCGGTCACGCTTTCACATTTTTCGCATTTGTACTATAGATAAACACCAAAGATTCCGCTTTTGCCGTGGCTGATTAGGAACGCACGGGATCCTATAGAATATGACCCGTAGTGAATAACATGCCGTCCACGAGACGAGCTCAGTGCACCGAGGACTGCAGGTGCGTGTTGTGCCGCGAGTTGAAAGGCTGCAAGATGAGCGCCAACGGCGTCCAAGTTCAGCAGCAGATCGGCCATGAAGGCGCAAATTTTATCCTGCGACGGGCCGTGCCCTTCTTGCCGAAGCCCCCGGCGCGAGAGGAATGGCGAGAAGTCGCGAGGCACGCGGACGATTACGAGAGAAGCTCGACCTTAGAGGACCGAAGTCGCCATGGTGGCGGCGGAAACGACAGTCGTGATCCAAAATCATGGACGCCGAGCAACGACGTCGGGAAAACGGGGAAGGACGTAGGTCATAAGACGGTCATCTACTTCGGCGACTCGAATCCCAGATCGAAGGAGGACAAAGTGAGGCAGCAGCAGCCGCCGCCTCCGCCTCCGCCACCACCGCCGTTGCCGGAAGCGTGCGTGCAGGTGACATCAAGAAGCAACGAGGATCCCGAGACGTTGTTACGATCACGGGACGGCGAGAGAGACGCGTCGGAGCGGGAAGAGGACGCCGGACGACGCCAAGATACCGCGATGGAGAACGGCGATCCCAAGGCCGCGCACGAGATCGTGGTGAACGTCAGCCCTAGCAGGGAGGACGTGCTGAGGATAGAGGAGGACGAGAGCCAGCTGGAAGATTATTGGTCCTTGCCGGGGGACACGAGCGGGTTCAAGGCGGATTGGAGCTTCGTGCAGCAGTGGCGACTGAGGGGGTAAATTCACGCATGCACTCATGCACGCATGCTTGTCATTGACGAACGGGAAAAAAATGGATGCTACCCTTCGGCGAATCGGAATTCCTCCCCGCATCGTGCGCATTCTTTTTCACGTTAAACGTACACGATATCTCGTGCAGTTTCCGTGGGCTATATTTGCCGTTCGAAGTCACGCTAATAAGCAAGATTGATTAACTGACCAACGTCCCGTTTTTACTAACGATATAATTTTAATAACGAATAATCTATTACGTTTTTGGTACCTAATTTCTAAATATTAAATTATTAATGATTCCATGAAGCAGAAAATAAATTAATCGTGATTTAGTTATAACAGTTTTTTTACGATTCTTAACTATTATATTTAGCGGGATATATTTTTTTCCTCACGAAAGATGTGGTCGTAATTCGTAATAGCGATTAATTAAATAATTATTTAATTGTTTCACTATCTCTTGATGAAGCACGAGACAACAAACGATCGATTTACATTTTAAGACTTACAGGGGATAAATACAAAGCAAAATTTTAGCGACTGTAGCCGATTCCCAGCCATACTCGTGAGATAAGGTAATGGAATCATGCGCCCGTACATTTATCTCCCGAGACGGTCGAACGCGTATCTAAACATGTCACCGATTTTGCGCACTCACGCGAGGAGAGTTCGCCACTCTGTAATTCATGATTCACACAAGCGATCCGGACGTTCCGGACAGCATCGCAGTCGCGGAGCTCGCGTTTGAATATCTTATCTCTTCGCGTTCATTTAATTTTCCCCCCCGCGTGACTGACGGACGCGCGCGTACGAATAAAACGTTCATCGCGCTGTATCGAATCGATATCGTGTAATGGGACGTGCGTGTAAATCGTCGTGTTGAGCCGCCGCGAATCGGCATTACGTATCGCGATTACGAGTTGTTTTAAAGACTCCTAGCCGCGCTCGCTGATTTATTCCCCGACGTACAAACGATCCGTTCTTCGCGCTCTCCAAGGAAATCCAGATGATGCACCGCTAATGCTCGGATCCCAACAGTGATGCCTCTCAAAGTGCATAATAAGTGCATTCGAGTTGAATGCCTACGGGCCGTGGGTGTGCGTGCGTGTGTGCTTTTTTTCGTCGCTTGCTTTCTTAGAATTCCTTCTTCTTAAAATACACATTAAAATTGACATTTTTTTTTTATTCTAAATATTGGACTCACGCTCTTTACAGACGAATAAGCGATCGATACATCATATTGTAATGCAATAAGAAATGTGTGCAATCATGCAAAATTCGTTTTACATATTGTGTTATAATTATACGTGCCTTATATCTACTGAAATTTTTTCGAGATACAAGAGATTACTGATAAAATTAACGTGTGTAAGAGATATTTTGATAAATAGTTAAATACACAATTAGTATCTCTGGTACACGAATAATAATATTTTTATAGCGACTTCCTCATTGCCGAACTGAACTTACATTTAATCGTTTTAAGTGACGTGTCGTTTGGATAATCGCGTTTCGCAAGAGTCGCGTCTAAAAAAGTGAAATGAGAGGAACAGAATTAAAAGACCCCCGCGGTCTGCGCTGCATGTTGCGCACTTTTCGCGTAATCGTGTATACCATAACCGGGAATTGATTTGCCCGATACGCTACCTGCATTGCTGCGCGTTTTCTGTCTCGGTATCTCCCGCGATACCCGCGAGCGCGCGGTTTGCGCAACTCCTAATGTCGGATTTGAAAGTTGTCGAAGCTAAATCCTCGAGCGTCGATATCGGCCAACAATGGTCGCGCAATTGAATATAATAGCGTTCATAAGGATTGCGAAACGCATTCGGCGTATTATGTAGCTGCTTATTTCAGCGGAACCTTTAATTGAGTGGACGCGTTATTAGTCTAAATAATTTTAGGATCACGATACCGACGATTCGTTTCGTTTCGTTTCGTTTCCGACAGAATGCTCGGCGCGTTCTGTCCCGATTCTTTCCCTCGGCACTTTCTCTCGGGGGCACGGAACATATTTTTATTGGCATCGTCGAGAAGCTGAAGGGTTTAGCAAAATTAAAAATGTCCCACTTCCTGGAAATTAATTACGTGTTAGGAGATCGCAAAAATATCTGACGAAACCGCGGCGTGAGCGATTCGAAGTCATTGTACCACATGACTTTTTACCTTCAAATGCGGTTTCACCGCATTCACGACCGAGTCTCGCGGCCGCCGCGAGCTAAATGGATTTTTTTTTTCGCGAGGGTGCCGCATATATCAGCGGCAGCTCCAGTGTCGCTGGCATTCCAGGGTGGAGAAATCTCTTCCATGCCTAAAGAGCCTTACGGCTGTTACAACGGTTTACAAGTGACGCGAGTCTCATTAGGACAACGCGAACGGCAGTTCCGTTTATCCGTTTCTTCATGGATGTTACGTGTCTCTTATCTCTCGAGTGCGTCTCGAGAGCTAGGAATCGGACGTGGCAGTTAGCTGCGTAGATTACGACTTTTCGAGAGCGTAACTCCATGAGACGAGTGCCTCCACGGAATGCACCTGTCCAGACTCTGTGTTATGCGTTTGCTTCTTTACGCGGGGGGG